TCACTGCATCTCCATTGCATGTTTTCACATTTTGCTTCACTTTATATCTTGAACTGCATCACTATTGTTATTTTGTGCAGATCCAAAGCAAGTGAACTAGTGAAGATATTCAGTAATCCTGCTTGCCCTCAGTCCATTAGCATTGCAGCATTTGCGAAAAAGGTACACCATAGTTTTACCCCGGGAATATGTTAATGTCCTGAATCCTGATTCTTGTTATCATCTATGCCTGCTATATAGCACGCATTATGAACACTTATATCTGTATGTATACATAATACTGAACGCAAGTTTTACTGCCAAGTGGTACCAAGGTTGTGATTGTATATGTCTAAAGGAAGGTCAATTGTAGAATGTACAAGCTCAAAACTACCAAAATACTGTTTGATCGTCGTTGTTTAATGTAGAATATCATCAAGGTGTGCCAATTTTGGTCACATATCTCTTACAGAATAGTGAGGTAATAAATCCAGCAACGGCAATGGCATTTGTGATATGCTTCCCTAGAATCGGAAATATGGGTCCTGTGACCAATGTTTAGCTCTTGTACTCTTGCTCTCCTAATCTTTCCGTCCTAGTCGACCAAAAATTTTGAAGATATAATTTTGACGAAGAGAGAGTGCAAAGATATCAAAGTACCCTGATGAATATGGCAAAGTTCATTGCAGTAGGTCTTATTGACATGAAAAAAGAAGGCATCTTGTAAAGTGAGAGAGTGAGTTATCAATTAGTAGTCTTCTGTTTATATCTGAAAGACGAGCGACTTGGTTTGTGCATGGCAATAATGCAGAGTGGCATATTTCTAAAATAAGAACTTAGAGCACACATGAAGGACATAATTTTCCTCTATATTCTCATTGTTATGAATGAATTGATATGAAATGAGGTCCTTGTCTTGCCTAGCTCATATTTTATACTCACGATCATGCTGCTCAAAAGATATTCAGCGACCATAACCTCAACAACTTTGGCATACTGCAGGTTGTCTCCCATTGTGAAAGCCCTGATAATGCTGCATTTGCATGTGCCCATGTCATTGTGATGGTTACATCAAAGGTAACTAAATGGTGTCATAAGCATAGTTTTTTTTTCTACTTCCCCTTTTTATGTATCTGCTATTTTATGCTAGTTCTTCATTCTAGCTTCAAATCCCAATTTAAAGTCGCTTTTATTCTTTTTAAATTTAGTAGACTTGACTGGACACTCTTTGTTGGGGACCACTTGTCTGTTGAGAAGAACTGATATGTATTATCCTCTCATCAGGTCTCAGATGCTTCAAAGCTTTTAAGAATGAACTCCAAGTTCTCTTTGACTAGATTTTAAGTCAAACTGTAGTTTAGCTGTACTTGCAAAATGTGCTTGAAACCAGTTATGTGGTTCTCAAACTGATTGAAAGAAGAATATATAGACTGATTACGTATTGCTTTGCAGAGTCGAGTAGGTCTATAATTTGATCTGATTTCTCAGACTGAAATTGATATGACTGATCATTGCTATCTCCAACATCGAGCTAAGGTTTTTTGGTGGAAAAAATTCCAAGATTTAGATATTTATCAATACTTGGAGTTGCTATAAGGATTCTGATTGCTGAAAATGTTTTTTCTATACTCACCACATAATGAATAGAGGAATTAGTCTCCATATCCAATTAGTGTGAGAATCTCATGAAGTCTATGACTTTGTAATCTATACATGGTTCTGTTTTATAACATATAAGCATGTGAATGATTGTTTATTATTCTCTGATCGATCAATCACTGTTTTTTTAGTTTTTCATTTAATTCTGCTATTAGAAGTGTGTACAATGGGGTTATCCTAATGACAAGTGCGCGAAAATTTTAAATTTGCATTTCACTACTAATAAAGAAAAAAGGTTTGGATTTAGCTATTGGCTTTCCTCTCTTTATAGCAGAAGGTTTTTGGAATTTGAGATGGCCATCTTGCTTTATTATCGGATGCTTTATATATGTTACTAAATGGCTTTTCTAATAAATGTATTCCGTTCAGATGCCTTACGTAATGGATGTTCTTCTTGCGGAGTTCCACATGGCTTGCATATTTACGGTCCCAAAATATATAGTTTACTCAAAGGTATAGGGCTTATCTACAGTACAGCCTTCTGAGTTGAAATTTTCCCGCCGCTTTTGTGAATTTTGAATATTTTCTGCTGGTTCAGACTGCATTTGAATCAAAAGAGGCATACTACAAAGCTCTTGGATTTCGAGAAGACAATGGAAAAATAGAAAATGTTAAAGATTACTTGAAACGGCTGGAATCTTACATGAGACTCTATGGAGCACTTGTGCAGGTTTGCTGTTGTATTTTTTTCTTTACGAGTTATATGTGTTTTTGGAACAATGATGCATAATGAAGTAATGGACATACTCTGATGATAAAAGTGTGCCTATCAGATAAGTTCTAACCTTGTGATTTGTAGGTTGGGTTAGAGCTATATATTCTTGCTTTTTTTTTTGGACGTATCTATATATTCTTGCTAAATGCGATGGATTGAGCAACTTTTGTTGCTTTTATTGATAAAAACATTTGTGATTGGTCACTCGGAATACACAGCACATTTCTTGAGGCTCTGTGGTAAACTCATCCAAGCAGACAGTAAATTGCTTAAATCTTCTATTTCAAATATCTAACATCTAATTGCAGAAAAGCACTAGCAATATGGGATCCATATCCCCAAATGTCCGAAAGGAATTTCTTTTTCTTCAACTTGATGTTGGCTTCTGCTGCTGATAGGGAAGTTTTAATCCAGTGATCATGGTTTACGAACATTGAATTATTAGTTCCCTAACTCTCTGTTTTGCCTACATTTTCTTCATTACATGTCTCTGTTTATTATGAACACCGAATTATGAGTTCCCAAACTCTCTGTTTTGCCTTCAGTCCCATCATTCCATGTCCCTGTTTTCATCTCCATCAATATGCATGAGGCTCAAGTAATTTTGCTGCTGTTATTTAATGTTTCCAACCGCATGCTTTAGAAAAGCATATAACTTGCCATGCCATCACGTATATTATTTTCCTGCTGAGCATTTGGAATTTCATCAATTGTGTATGCTCAATTAGTTGGACCCTCTCTCTACTGAAAGACAAAAGAGTTGGAATCTAAAGTGGATTGGCTGGGAAACAAAAAACTGATATTGGTTTTACAGTCAATTCTTAATACTATTGCCATCAGAAAGCTGATCGGTAACATTTGTTTTGACAGACTGAAACTCCGAATTTCCAAAATGCTCATGGCCTCAAAGAAGGATGGGCATGGCTTGCTAGGTTCTTAAACACACTTCCTGCCAATGTCTACACAGCTGTTGCCTTGAATGCCTTCTTGCAGGTAGCTTGGTGCTTAAATGAATTTGATGTTTCTGTGGTTGGTTAAAAAGATTCTGAGTTTTAAGTTGATTGTTTGGAATTAAATACTTCGTGACAATTTTTGTAAATACCGTTTTTTTCAAGGCAATGATAGGAAAACTTATTCCTTGTTTTGGTAAGCTACAAATTCAAGTAGTTTTTGCAATGTAAAAAGAAAAGGAGACTTTTTTCGTATTTAGCTTACTATTGCCATCATTTCCTGCCTGTAATTGTTCTTAGGGAATATACTATATATATACCTCACCTTTCACTGAACAATCACTTATATACCTCAACTCTTGAAAATACCAAATACATACCTGCATTTTTCCTTTAAAGTCACTTTGCACCTTTACATCAATGTTTCCCTGCTTATGAAAATGCCGTCCATCCCTAAAACCGTCCACTCAAGACACTCAAAACCAACTAAAATCCAAACCACCCAAAGCTAAGGAAGATGCTAAAATGAAAGACGGGGCAATTTAATCTTGTTCGATGTGGGGATTTGCTTAAAGATATGTAAATGGTATTTGCATAAATAGATATATGTAAGCGGTCATTAAGTCGAAAGTGAGGCTTTTTTTTTTTGTACTTTCCCCTGTTCTTATGTGGGCTTTGTCCAGATTTCCAAAGATGCAGTGAAAATAGCTATAGAAACTGTCTGGTTTTGCTTTTAATTTATTTACAGCAAACCTGCTTTCAAGGGCTTTTCTCACGGAATATGTTTTAGAAAACAGCACTGTGAAGCGTACGCTTCAAACTTTTTCCTTCTGCTGAAGATGAAGTCTGTTTTTTTAACACTAATTAGTAATTACTGTAATATTTTCTATTTTTATAGATGGCGGGCTTTGCCCTTTTTAGAAGATACCGACGTCAGTTCAAGAAGATGCTGAATGTCATCTCTGAAGACTATTTGGGTGCATTACAAGCACGTGGAGACTCTGAGTTGAAGCCAATTATTGCAGAAATTCAGTCTTACATAGAAGACAAAAAGTTCCTTAAGGAGCCAGAAGGAAGGGCCCTGCAGGGTGCTTTGCTCTCCAGTGTTATGGTACCCGAGTCAGATCATGGATATAATCAACCTAATAGAAATTACTACTGACAACTTAGGAGAAATTTCAACAATATAATTTGTAAAATTACGGCAGTAAACAATTTTTCTTCATAAACTTCAAGTCAATTGACTTAACTGCCTCACACTCACAGGAGATCCTGCTTGAGAATTGTCTATTGTTGAGAACTACTCAGGGTTCTTGTCAGGATTAATATTCCGTTGTACCTTCCTGGTTGGATGAGGTTGAATTAATATATTTGGTCACCATTTGATTGCTCTTTGCATCAGTGGATATTTTAAGTCGAGTCCTCTCCTCATTGTTCGGTGCGATTATATTGGGCATTGCATACTGAGATTGCACGCACTGGGTGTATCTACTCAATTGCATCTGGACTGTTCAAGTTAGCGGGGTCCACTTGCTTTACGCGTGATATTCACCGGATTCAATGATTCAAATAGATATCAGGGACCGTGTTCACCTAAAAACTTTTACATTGCACAGGTGAGATTACTGTGTCTTCCCTCTTAATATTACAGAACATTTTTTAGAAGTAACAGCATGAAACAGATCAGAGGCAAGTAGTGATGACAAGCCCTTTCCTCCAACTTAAAAGTCAACTACATACACTGCTATATAGAGCAATGCTTGCTGAGATCAACTTATAATATTTAGAGTATATGTAAAATGGCAAAGCCTGGTCAATAAAGCTTAATTCTGATTTGGATGGTGCTCTGGCATATTGGGCATGACCGCAGATTCTCCCCACAGTCACAGCAGGTCTGTCAAATGAAAGAAGAAAGAGGACATTATCTTGAAAATGATTGTGTTATCCTGCTCCTCAGGATCTTATGGATGGAAAGAAAGGAGGAGAGAGAGAGAGAGAGAGAGAGAGGAAAAGGAGACCAACAAGATGAACTATCATACCAGGTGGCCGCACCCGAAGGCCATGTCCTTTGAATTACTCATACATATGGGACAATCCTGAGCAAATTCACAAGAGTAAAATGTAATATTCCGAAGAATTCAGCAATCCCATTTTCAATCGATTGAAGCGAGGTAATGATGAATCTTGTGAAATATACAGGATTTGTTTCTAGCTTTGTGATTGACAGACAAGCTAAGGAAACTGATAGTTTGTTAGCTTACTTGAACTAGCTCATCCAGAAAGAATTTCCTTGAAAACATCACACACCATACCTGATTGTCATAAGCTGAAACCGATGGTGGGGCTCTGCTGAATGTTGGAGAGCATTCGTCACGGTAAGGAGTTTCTTTTTGCTGAAAATATCTGGACTGGTAAGGTCTTGAGCTGCTGTGAGGCGGAGGAAGAGGAATTCTCTCCGGGGAAATCCCTTTTTGTTGACTGATCCATCAATTCAGGAAACAAGATTTTCAGTGGAGGTTCAGACTCTTGAACGAATAAAAAGAGATGACCAAACAGTGCATAAATCATCAAGAGCCTAGAGCATAATTCTTTACCCTAATATGCCAAGCTCTATAGTTGCTTTATACTGAGAAGGAACTTCCATTAAGGCCGCGAGAGCGAATTCCGCCTGTTTTCTAGATGCATCCACATTGTTGGACATGATCTCGGTAAAGTTGACGAACTGACAAGACCAAAGAAAGAAGTTTCTCCTGCTAAGCATGTAGAAAAATGTCATGGCCATTGATTATGTTAGACCAGTGGCTGATGTACCTGGAAATTGTCAAAGGCTCGCGCAGGAATGTTATCATCGAACTCCTTCATCAGGTCCCATGGCCCGTCTCCGACCCCAACTAAAACAATAGATAGAGGGTATTCGCTGCAATCAAGTTCACATGTATCATGTCATTAGGATGGGAAAAGAAATGCAAATGAGAATGTGAAAAGGCATCTTGAAGTGGTTGGGTGGAATACCTAGCTCTCACGATTGCATCAACTGTCTTTTGCTCTTGCGGACTGAGCTGGCCATACTGAGTATCAACACTTCTCGTCACCTGCGTCGGTTGCCACATTTTGGGAAAATAAGTACATAAAACTTCCATGTCTAGGATAGGATATGACCGATAATCACAGCACCATACCATATTTTCTTATTATAAGGAGATAATCGCGTGTCCTAGCACCAAAACTAGGGAAAATTCAAAGAAAAAAGTTCAAAAAAGGAGGAAACTTTCATTCCTGAAAGAATGACAGGATCTGGTGAAGGAGCCACAACTTAGCTTTAATTGTTTAGTCCATGAAGAACGTGAATTTACCTGCCCATCAGCTATTATTAACAGGACATGGTACTGGCCACCACTTTGCTCTACAATTGTCATCGCCATCTCAATTATGGGTGCAAAGGATGTCGGTCCTGCAATGGTAAAAAGAAAATTGAGAAACATATCACCAGAGCATCCTGCAGAAGCAGAAACCCCCATAATTCGATAAATTAAACAGAAGCATCACCTGCAAGGCGGAGACGGGGAACGACCTCTTTGTATCGCGTCAAGACTTCCTCAAACCCGTTACAGAATCTATTGTCTGGATAAAAACTGAAAACATCCTGGTCGTGTGTTGATGCTGCAGAAGTCTCAGATTTAGTTTCATCTTCAATGAAGTTATTTACATAAGAAACTGATCCCCATAGGGCACTAATGTACCATCTCCGAATCCGAAACAGGGAATTAGGTTATCCTCATCGAATGCGGATAAAGTCTTTCCAATGATTGATATCGCTTGCTCGTAGGGATTCTGACCATGGCCGATGTCATGCAGGCTTAGCCGATGGAATGACCTCGCGCCTAATTTTGGAAACAATATCTCGCACAGTTCATCACATGACATATGAAATGGACCAAGGCCTTAAGAAAGCATACCTGTCCACTCATTGCTCTTTGTGAAATCAATCCCGACGATGAGATTAGAAGACTCTAAACCAGCTTGGGCAAGAGCAGAAGTTACCTGTGCTAATTAAATCATCATGATCATCTTCACTGACAACATATGAAAGATTAGAAGCATCATGCTGTTGTTTCAGACTAAATTTCGAACTTTGTATCATTTATTTTGAATATCTTCCAAAAGCAAGCCAAAACTGTAGTTTAAACATCTTCAGACTAATCAATTCAAAAATCATTGTTATGGGGCACAATTTTTTTTTGCCCTTTTCGTTATCATTCTGTAGATCACTATGTATATCCATTCCACAGCTAACATGACAGACCATCCCAAAGTTTCCGAGATTGAACACAGACCCTCCTAATGTGTCCCTCTTAATGTTCATCTTTTGAAGAGCCATCACAGTTGACATGGATTGAGTCACACTAAGAGGTAGAGGAGATCTTCATAGTAATCACTCTAAATGCTGTCAAGGACCCGACCTAATTACCTCATGCAAAGAACGATAATTATCGGCTATCCTCGAATATTTCGTGTTCACTATCTTCCGACGCTGCCGGGTCTGCGCTTGCGAAGGTTGTGTAGCATAATTGTAGGACGGAGAAGGCATGTAGTGATGATGCAGGCCCGTTTGGTGTGGATCCTGCATAGTATTACCTCCATACTCACTCCAAGAACTCGATGGAGTTGAAGCATACCGACCATTTGAATATGGTCCCCTCCTGCTCGTCCTCTTTGACAATATGCTTCCCATCACCTGCAACTTTTCGAAAAGAACAAATAAATGTAACTTTAATCCAAGAAGCACCTGCATAAGGGATAAATGAAAGACTTATGACAGGATTTTATATTTTGCCAGAACATAAGAGAATGAAGCATGATCAAATTCGAAATTAGATGGGTATTGGCTCAGAATTCAGCAATATCTGTTGCAGAGGAGGGAAAATAGAAATCTCTTTTACCTCAAGAACAGAACTCAAACGATTGTAAGAACAAAGAAACCCGACTGTGAGAGCTCTCAGGTCTCAGGACTGCAACAAACTTAAGGCAGAGAGGCTTTGGAGAGATGATCATGGTTAAAGAGGAAGAAAGTACAGATACTTTATTTAATATTTATGTAATTTGACTTGTGATGATGAGCCAAGATTGGAACAAGTATGCACGTAATCTGGAAAGAGAAGAAAGAGAACCAGAGAGGTCAGGTCCGTCAACTAAAACGCTGGCTCTTCGGTCTTTCCTAATAAGCTTGGGCAGATCATGTAAAAACATTTAACAATTTGTGAACAACATGTCCATGGCTGAGTTCAAGAGCGGAGTCATGGAAACACAAGATAATATGGATTTATTATTTCCGGTGGCTCCATCTTGAAGTGAGTGGGAGTTAGTAAAGAGTCATCATCTCCCAAGCATTTTTTAATCCATAATCTGACTATTATTGCCTACTTTGCTCCTGAAGATAAACTCCAGAAGTCACTTTACTGTTGCACGAAGTATGATACAGATGCTAAAAACAACTTATACCTCGTCCTGTAAGAGCAATCGGCTAATCACACCGGATCAGCATGATTTTCCGTTCCATCGCAACCGGGCAATTATCGGGACAATATGCTCTCTCAAAGGTGATTGTAAGAAAGTTGTCTTTGCCGGAACTCGAGCGACATCTCCAGAATTCGTAACAAAGGATTGTACCCCACCAGTTTGTGCAAGTCAAGTAATATCAATCAAAAAAAAAAAAAGAGGCTGGGCAATTGTTACCTCTGGTTTTAGCACGTTGATGGGCTATATGATGACGGGCTCTACACCTATGTATGGACTGGACTAAGTAATTATGACTCCGATCATGCATTTCGTAATGGGTGCGAAACCCTTACGATAATATTTAGAGGAGATGTTAGACCCTTAACGGTAACATCTAGAAAAATAAATTTGATGAGTACCTCCTCGCACCGTATTACCTAAAAAAGAAAAGGGTCCGGATAACTAGTCACTACTAAGCAAAAGTTTTCAATCTTTCCGCTCTAGAAATCACCGATGTTAGTTTGGAATTCAGAGTTTAGACCATAAAAGGCACAAAATCTCATTAAATTACGGGACCATTCTTTATGCTAAAATTATCTGCTGTTCATCCCCTTTCAAGTGTGAGAGATTGATATGCTTTTAATATCTTTACTTCACGTGAAAAAAATAACTAATACGCAGTGTTAGTAAATCTGTATTTAATTTGAAAGTGCCTACGTTTTGGAAGATTTTGTCAATTAATTAGAAGTATGCTTCAAATGAATCAAAGCTAGATTTCTATTCTTGAATGACCAAAACTCTTTAATGACACGCGGCAACTCGTCTTAGTAAGAGATTTCGAGGGGCATTACCCTATTCTTTGGAAATATTACGACCAAAAAAATGTTTGATGTTGATTTAATACTATTTGCTAATGCACAAGTGTCTCGCTTGAGCTATAATCTCTCTTTTATAGTCACAACGCACAAATTCCTTGAATGGGTCTGTTTATTAATTGCCCTAGAAGCAATATACTCAATGAGTCTCGGTTACCATATATGTGGAAATGTTGTACACTACAATATTGTAAAATGCAATATTAAGACGCTTGATCATAATTTAACGACGATCTTGCCATGCATCGATTTTACGCAATGGTTTAACCGGCAACAGAGTGAGAGGCACTTTCTTGAATATGACCAGACCGGCACCTTCCTCCATGCTCACATCTCCCTCCGTCATTCCCTCTGGCAATTCCCAGTCGAAGGAGTGCAAGACATTGGCGAGCGCTAGCTCGATCACTGCCATCCCCATCGAAGCCCCAGGGCATCCCCTTCGCCCAGCCCCGAATGGCAACAGCTCGAAATGATTCCCCTTGTAATCGATTTGACTGTCCTCAAACCTCTCGGGCACAAACTCTTCGGGGTCCTCCCACAGGCTCGGGTCCCGCCCGATGGCCCACACGTTGACTTGGACACGGGTCTTCGGGTCGATGTCGTAGCCAAACAGCTTGAAGTGGCCAATTGTTTCCCTCGGAATGAGCAAAACAACTGGAGGGTGTAACCTCAATGCCTCCTTGAGTACTAACTTGAGATATTTGAGCCCGCCGAGGTCGTCTTCGACAAGCCATTTCTTGTTTCCAGCACAACTCCGGATCTCCTCTCGAACTTTTCGCATCGCCCTTGGGTTCCTGGCGAGCTCAGCCATTGTCCAGTCCATGAAAACTGCGCTGGTGTCCACTGTAGCTAGAAATATATCCTGAGAGTGTACATGAAGTCACGATTCACAGAAAAGACATATACATCAATTTTGCCATAACGCCTCTCATAACTGACAAAGAGGACGGAGTACTCATTTAAAAAGTTCTTGAATCATATCCTGCAATATAAAGAACATTAAAGTTTGCTTCTCAATGTGTATATGATCTACTTTAGGGAATGTGTAAGAGATTGTATGATATACCATCAAGATGGCCTTGATGTGATCTTTCTTGAGCTGGACCCCCGCGAGCTCGGTCTTAACCCTCTCCATCTTCAGCAGCAAATCGACAATATCCTCCTTTTCCTCGTGGCTCTTATTTGCGTTCCGATGCTCCTCGATCACCTTCTGGTAGAAAACGTCCAAACTGCGAAAGCTCTTCTCCAACCTTGAATGGAGCCCCGTGAACCTGTCCACGATCCAGCCGAATTGAGGGAAAAAATCGGATGCCGAGAAGCTTCCCAACATCGCCACTGCCTCGTGAATCACATCCATGAACTTTCTGTCGTCAAACTCCGTCCCCTGAAATGCCTTCCCAAATGCCACCCTGCATGTAAGGTGTACAAACAAGTCAAGTTGCTTGCGAGTGATTCGTGCTTGGCTCTGAGGCTAGACAATCTTCGGTTAAAACCATTTCAAGTTCGAGTCGAGTTTCTCTAGTTGCAAAATTGACTTGAGTCAAGTTTGAATTTGATGATAGCTTCAATAATTGCGGTAGCTCCTAAGCCTAATGAAGTCTAATCAAGTAAGTCAAATTCGAACCTAGACAACATGGTCAAGTTTCCGACCCCCAAAAAAAACATGGTCAAAGTTCAGCTCGAGTTTAAAGAACCAGACTCAATATAGTGTCAAACCACGTAGAATGGAGTCGAACTCAAGTAGTAACTTAGTTGACTTGACTCATCAACTACACCACTAGGCCCTACCTGCAAGTGACGTTAGCCGTCAGAGCCATGAACTTCTCGCTGATATTGATCGGAATTCCGCTCTCTGCTGACTTCGCAATCGACTCCATCATAGAACCGACCTCCTCTTCCCTGATGTACCGGAAGGACTGGACTCGCTTGGTGCTAAACAGCTCGAGCATGCACAGCTTCCTCAGTTCCCTCCAGTAATCACCATACTCGACGAAGGCGATGTCGAGGTAGTCGTAGGAGAGGCGTCCTGTGCCGACCAGCCGTGGGCGGCTGCAGCAGTCAAGGTCGTGGTTCTTGAGGACCTCCCTGGCGGCACCAGGGGAGGAGACGATGACGGTGCGGATGCCACCGAGGCGGATGAGCATGACGGGGCCATACCGTCTGGAGAGTTTCCACAGGGACTGGTGAGGCAAATGGCCGAGCTGGTGGAGGTTGCCTATGATGGGGAGTGATGGAGGCCCTGGAGGGAGGTTCTTCCTTTTGTTGTTGAAGTTTTTCACTGAGAGGAGGAGGAGGAGGAGAGGAAGGGAAAGAGCAAGCCATGTGAAGAGGATGTGAAGAGCCATTGTTGTAAGGATGGTCATGCGGAGTGAGAACTCTTGCAACGGTGAATTAGTTTGGGGTGGTATGCTGAAATGTCAGTTGTCAAAATTGATACTAAATTGATACGAAATTTAAAGTTAATATTTGATTAATCTATCCTTGGGCTGCTAGTTGGTACTACGATTGCATAAATATAATATAGTACTAATAGTCATTATAATATTGACATTAACAATAATACACACAAATGGGTCATGCCTTGATTTCTCAAGACTATCTTTGGAGATTCATATATTTCCTTTTGTCATGTGAAGGAACTTCGTTCTTTTACACAGAGAAAACTTGAGCAAAACAAAACCAGTTCATACAACACAATCAATTTAGTAAACTTGATACATAATTTACGCTGGATGGATCAGGCTTGATCTTGACTCGTGAAGCACAAGAAATGTTGGTACTTGAATTGACTTATAGAAAGATAAAAATGCATTGGTCAGCTGCGCAAAGTTTCAGCTAAATCAAAATGGTTGTACACAATTTAACTGTATCTAATATTCAAATTCAATCAACTTTCCACAAAAAAATTCACATAAATTAAAAATTTGGAGTCAAGTCGCTACACATGTAAGTGGGTGTCGCCTCCAATAATAGGGACCAAAACTAAGCAAGATGATGTTATAGAGATTATTGACTGTCATTAGAAAATAAGTTAAATGGCATCAAAGATCCTTCTAGTTTTACCTGAAATTCAAAAACTCTTTTTCTATTTTTTTTTTTCAAAATGGGCCTCGTAAGTTTTAAATGTATCCTCCTATGTCCTTGTGCCATTCTAATAACGGATTTTGTTGATATGGACTTGACCTCGTGCATGGACTGTCACGGTGTTGCCGTTGACAGGCGACACTCGATCAACTCTTCCTCTATCGTGGCGGTTGAAGCGCGATGACTGCCAACACAGTAATAGTTGCTGATAGAATCGCCATCGAGTTGGCTGGACCACCCTGGTGATGATGGTCCTACATCCACCAAGTCCTGTCCCCTGTCCACTTTTTTCGTTCTTGCAACACAAAAGCATTTTTTACGTTTATTTTTATGACCATATCAGCAAATAATGTACCGATGAAAGCGGCAATACGTGTTCTCATATTGCCACTTCAGCTTTTCCGTTTCTAACTTGGGAAGTTTTAGAACTTGATTGCACTTGTTGAAAGTTTTAGAACTCAATTACACTTTTGTAATAATTTTAAGGATTTGATTGTGCTTTTTGAAAGTTTTATGACTCAATTGCACTTTCTTGAAAAGTTTTATAACTTTCAATGCACTTATCTCTTGTAAAAGAAAGGCCCAGATTATTGGTCACTATCTAAGGAAAAGTTGTCAATCCTTGAATTCTACAAATCATTATTCACCAATGTTAATTTGGAGTTTGGATCTTAAAGGCAGAAAGTTTACCTGACCATCCTTCATGCCAAAATGATATGCAGTTTGTCCCCTTTAAAGTTTGAGAGATTTATGTTCTTTCAATATATTTACCTCTTGTGAGAAACAACTAATAGGCACACGCAGTGTCAATAAATCCGAATTTAATTTGAAAGTGCCTATGTTTTGGAAGATTATTTCAATTAATTACGAGTATACTTCAAATGAATAAAAGCTAGACTTCTTCTATTCTAGGATTGATAGGACTTTCTAATGACACGCCACAGCTCTTCTCAGTAAGAGATTCTGAGGGCCATTAAAGCTCTTCCTTGAAAACATTCCGACCAAAAATATAGTTGATGTTAATTTGTCACAGGCAACTAAAAGACTTTTAAATCCCAAAGTAATTTGCACACAAGGTATACAAGTACAATTTGTTAGTCCACAAGTGATTCGTACGACTGATAATCCGAGAAAAAAGACTTTATTAAGTTATGCTATGCTGAAGAGAGAAAAGAGAATTCTCACTCTATAGTCACAATATGCAAATTGCTCATATGGGTCTTTTTATTAATTGCCTAAGAAGCAATAGACTACATGTATAGAGATGTATGCTATAACATTATACCATGCAATCTTAAGACAGCTTGATCATAATTAAGTACAAAACATAGTGAAATATGATGTTTTTTGCTTAATGCGATTTTGTCATGCAACGGTTTTATAAGATGGTTTAACCGGTAGCAGAATGAGAGGCACTTTTTTGAATACGGCCAGAGCAGCACCTTCCTCCATGCTCACATCTTCCTCTGTCATTCCCTTTGGCAATTCCCAGTCGAAGGAGTGCAAGACATTGGCGAGCGCAAGCTCGATCACCGCCATCCCCATCGAAATCCCCGGGCATCCCCTCCGTCCTGCCCCAAATGTCAACAGCTCGAAATGATTCCCCTTGTAATCGATCTGACTGTTCTCAAACCTCTCAGGCACAAACTCTTCAGGGTCCTCCCACAGGCTCGGGTCCCGCCCGATGGCCCACACATTGACTTGGATGCGGGTCTTCGGGTCAACGTCGTAGCCAAACAGCTTGAAGTGGCCCATTGTTTCCCTCGGAATGAGCAAAACACCTGGAGGGTGTAACCTCAGAGCCTCCTTAAGTACTAGCTTGAGATATTCGAGCCCGCCGAGGTCGTCTTCGACAAGCCATTTCTTGTTTCCAGCGCAACTCCGGATCTCCTCTCGAACTTTTCGCATCACCCTCGGGTTCCTGGCGAGCTCGGCCATTGTCCAGTCCATGACAAGTGCAACGGTGTGCACTCCAGCTAGAAATATATCCTGAGAGTGTGCATGAAGTCATAGATTTACAAAAAAAACAAGTACATCAATTTTGCCATAACGCCTTTCATAACTGAGAAAGAGGACGATGTACTCATTTATAAAGAACATCAAGGTTTGCTTCTCAACGTGTACATGATCTACATTAGGGAATATGTAAGAGATTGTATGATGTACCATCAAGATGGCCTTGATGTTATCTTTCTTGAGCTGGACCCCCGCGAGCTCAGTCTTATCCCTCTCCATCTTCAGCAGCAAATCGACAATGTCCTCCTCTTCCTCATGGCTCTTATTTGCGTTCCGATGCTCCTCAATCACCTTCTGGTAGAAAATGTCCAAACTGCGAAAGCTCTTCTCCAACCTCGAATGGAGCCCCGTGAACCGGTCCACGATCCAGCCGAATCGAGGGAAAAAATCGGATGCCGAGAAGCTTCCCAACATCGCCACTGCCTCATTAATCACATCCATGAACTTTCTGTCGTCAAACTCCGTCCCCTGAAATGCCTTCCCAAATGCCACCCTGCATGTAAGGTGTGCGAACAAGTCAAGTTACTTGTGAGTGATTCATGCTTGGCTCCGAGGCTAGACTAGCTTCGGTTAAAGCCTTTTCAAGTTCGAGTCGAGTTTCTCAAAATTGACTTGAGTCAAGTTTGAATTTGATGATAGCTTCAATAATTGGGGTAGCTCCTAAGCCTAATAAAGTCTAATCAAGTATGGTCAAATTCGAACCTAGACAACATGGTCAAGTTTCCGACCAAAAAAAAAACCATGGTCAACTTCAGCTCGAGTTGAAAGAACCAGACTCAATATAGTATCAAACCACGAAGAATGGAGGCGAACTCAAGTAGTAACTTAGTCGACTTGACTCATCAACTACACCACTAGGCCCTACCTGCAAGTGACGTTAGCCGTCAGAGCCATGAACTTCTCGCTGATATTGATCGGAATTCCGCTCTCTGCTGACTTCGCAATCGACTCCATCATAGAACCGACCTCCTCTTCCCTGATGTACCGGAAGGACTGGACTCGCTTGGTGCTAAACAGCTCGAGCATGCACAGCTTCCTCAGTTCCCTCCAGTAATCACCATACTCGACGAAGGCGATGTCGAGGTAGTCGTAGGAGAGGCGTCCCGTGCCGACCAGCCGTGGGCGGCTGCAGCAGTCAAGGTCGTGGTTCTTGAGGACCTCCCTGGCGGCACCAGGGGAGGAGACGATGACGGTCGGGATGCCACCGAGGCGGATGAGCATGACGGGGCCATACCGTCTGGAGAGTTTCCGCAGGGACTGGTGAGGCAAATGGCCGAGCTGGTGGAGGTTGCCTATGATGGGGAGTGATGGAGGCCCTGGAGGGAGGTTCTTCCTTTTGTTGTTGAAGTTTTTCACTGAGAGGAGGAGGAGGAGAGGAAGGGAAAGAGCAAGCCATGTGAAGAGGATGTGAAGAGCCATTGTAGTAGGGATGGTGATGTGCAGTGAGAATGCTTCCACCGTTGAATTAGTTTGGGGTGGTATGCTGAAATATCAGTTGTCGAAATTGATACGAAATTGGTGAGAGTTACAGTTACTATTTGATTAATCTACCCTCAGGCTGCTAGTTGATAGTATGATTGCATTGCTATGATGTTGATGAAAAAAATACAATTGATCCTTGATTGGAATTTACCTCTTCATCCAATCGATTGAAGTTGTTTCAACATTATGAGCAAGCATGGGGTCTCAAAAAATAAAAAAAGGCATTTGTTTGACATGTTTGACTTCTCCAATTAGATTTGAAAGTGTGATTTTCATCTACTTATAAGTATATAAAAAATTTATTTATATGTAAATGACATATATAAAAGTATAACTACTACGAAGATAAGGGACAAGGTGATAATGAAAAGAAATAGAGCATTAACTAAAGGTTGAATGAGGCCGCCGCCCACCCCCCAAAAAAAACACCTAAGTATAAATATAATATAGTACTGATAATCATTATGATGTTGAAATTAACAATAATACACACAAATGGGTCATGCCTTGATTTCTCAAGACTATCTTTGGAGATTCATATATTTCCTTTTGTCATGTGAAGGAAATTCATTTCTTTTGCACCGAGAACTTGAGCAAAACAAAACCAGTTCATACATTACAATCTGTTTCGTTGGAATTGCTCCTGCAGCCAAATATAACTCATCGAAAGTTGTTCTTCGGCTTTTAACGGGAAAAGATCGGGTTTTGTGGCGATTCCGGACAGGAGTTATCTAGGCGAGAAAAGGAATCCACTTTCTTCAACCAATACAAAACAAACTTGATCTGTACTAGTATCTGATTAATGGCACGCTCAAGCAGTACAATAGACACAAGCCAATTCCACCAAATGCTATACAACGGTGGTATTGGTTTACACTGAAATATCACGACCTAACTTCGTCGATGACATGATATACACTAACATCTATCTAAACCATGAGGATCTATAGCTAAGGAAAATTGAAAATACAATGCGGAAAGCTTTAAACATAATGAAATTAAAGATAACATTTTGATTGTGTTTTTCGGGGGCTTTTTCAATAATGATCGGTGATAATTATAATGGTCGTGTGGTAACTGCTCCTTAGTGGTTTCCAACAATTGTGCCCATGTTCTTCCATTCCGAAAATCTTGTTTTCACGTCCATGTAATGCCATGATCCTGCTTTCAAGTGATAACTATCCCATGATCTTATTTACAAGTGATAATTGCCTCATGATCCTGTTTCTAAGTAACTTTTCCCTCAAAATATACATGCCAGTCACTTCACGACTCACATTACTCAACCTCCTATAGCTTTAGGTTAGGAATTATGCTATGACATCGCCTTGATATCTTTCGCCTACTTTGTTTATTTTTTTTTGCATGTTTTGTCAATCTTATCTACTAGTATTCTTCCCAATCCTTTTTGACCCTATGTCGTCATTTTTCGACGACCAAATTGTTATCGATGTGTTAACTTTAACATCGATTGCAATATCTATCGACCATGGTGATGCACTTCCATGCCAACTTGATGATCTTGGGTCATATACATGACACATGGCTCCGACATGTATCGCATATGTTGGTAACTTGATAATATTTGCTTTCACGTTGCCTCATGCCGTTGTCCCTTCATGATCCTTGCTTCCACGTAGCCTCTAGCCTTTGTCAAGTGTTTGTTTTGTTGGCAACTTGATGGTCAGTACAAAAACTTGTCAAGCATCTTTGATCCTACGTCAATCTTATTATTACTGAATCATCACCGATGCACTAAAATGGATGTCACTTTCTATGATAGTTGACGATGGGACGTGTAATTCATGCCTCCATCATGTGTTTTCCATGTTGACAAGTTGGCCAATTTTTTGGTGTAAACACTATCAATTTAGTAAACTCAATACATAATTTACGCTGGATGGATCAGGCTTGATCTTGACTCGTGAAGTACTTTCTATGTTGGTACTTGAATTGACTTGTAAAAAAGATAAAAATGCATTGGTCAGCTGCGCAAAATTTCAATTAAATCAAAATGGTTTTCCAAAATTTAATTATATCTAATATTCGAACTACTCAAATTCAATTAACTTTCCAAAAAACAAATTCACATAAATTAAAATTTTGGAGTCAAGTCGCTACGCATATAAGTGCGTGTCGCCTCCAATAATAGGGACCAAAACTAAGTAAGATGATGTTATAAAGATTATTGACTGTCATTAGAAAATAAGTTAAAAGGCATCAACGATCCTTCTACTTTTACCCGAAATTCGAAAACTGTTCTTCTATTTTTTTTTTTCAAAATTGTCCTCGTAAGTTTTAAATGTATCCTCCTTCGTCCTTGTGCCATTCTAATAACGGATTTGGTTGATATGGACTTGACCTCGTGCATGGATTGTCACGGTGTTGCCGTTGACAGGCGACACTCGATCAACTCTTCCTCTATCGTGGTGGTTGAAGCGCGATGACTACCAACACAGTGATCGCTGCTGATAGAATCGCCATCGAGTTGGCCGGACCACCCTGGTGATGATGGTCCTACAACCACCAAGTCCTGTCCCCTGTCCAGTTTTTTCGTTTTTGTAACAATAAAGCATTTTTTACTTTTATTTTTATGACCATATCAGCAAATAATGTACAGATGAAAGCGGCAATACGAGTTCTCATATTGCCACTTCAGCTTTTCCATTTTCAACTTGGGAATTTTTGGACTCAATTGCACTTTTGTAACAAGTTTAAGGACTTGATTGTGCTTTTTGAAAGTTTTAGGACTCAATTGCACTTTCTTGAAAAATTTTATAACTTCCAATACAATTATCCCTTATAAAAAAAGTGCCCGGATTACTGGTCACTATCTAAGCAAAAGTTGTCAATCACGAAGTTTACCTGACCAAAGTTTACCTGACCAGCCTTCATGCTAAAATGATATGCAGTTTGTCCCCTTTAAAGTTTGAGAGATTTATATTCTTTCAATATATTTACCTCTTGTGAGAAACAACTAATAGGCACATGCAATGTCAGTAAATCCGAAGTTAATTTGAAAGTGCTTATGTTTTGGAAGATTATTTCAATTAATTACGAGTATACTTCAAATGAATAAAAGCTAGACTTCTTCTATTCTAGGATTGATAGGACTTTCTAATGACACGCCACAGCTCGTCTCAGTAAGAGATTCTGAGGGCCATTAAAGCTCTTCCTTGAAAACATTCCGACCAAAAATATAGTTGATGTTAATTTGTCACAGGCAACTAAAAGACTTTTAAATCTCAAAGTAATTTGCACACAGGGTATACAACTATACAAGTACAATTTGTTAGTCCACAAGTGATTCGCATGACTGATAATCCGAGAAAAAAGACCTTATTAAGTTATGCTATGCTGAAGAGAGAAAAGAGAATTCTCACTCTATAGTCACAATATGCAAATTCCTCATATGGGTCTTTTTATTAATTGCCTAAGAAGCAATATACTACATTTATAGAGATGTATGCTATAACATTATACCATGCAATCTTAAGACAGCTTGATCATAACTAAGTACAAAACATAGTGAAATATGATGTTTTTTGCTTAATGCGATTTTGTCATGCAACGGTTTTATAAGATGGTTTAACCGGTAGCAGAATGAGAGGCACTTTTTGAAATACGTTCAGGCCAGCCCCTTCCTCCATGCTCACATCTCCCTCCGTCATTCCCTTTGGCAATTCCCAGTCGAAGGAGTGCAAGACATTGGCGAGCGCTAGCTCGACCACCGCCATCCCCATCGACATCCCAGGGCATCCTCTTCGCCCCGCCCCGAATGGTAACAGTTCGAAATGATTCCCCTTGTAATCGATTGGACTGTCCTCAAACCTCTCGGGCACAAACTCCTCCGGGTCCTCCCACAGCTCCGGATCCCGCCCGATGCCCCACACATTGACCTCGACACGGGTCTTCGGGTCGATCTCGTAGCCAAATAACTTAAAGTGGCCCATTGTTTCCCTCGGGACTAGTAGACCACCTGGAGGATGTAACCTCATTGCCTCCTTGAGTACCAACTTGAGATATTTGAGCCCGTGAAGGTCGTCTTCCACGACCCATTTCTTGTTCCCAGCATAACTCCGGATCTCCTCACGAGCTTTCTGCATCGCCCTCGGGTTCCTTGCGAGCTCGGCCATTGTCCAGTCCATGACAAGTGCAACGGTGTCCACTCCAGCTATAAGTATATCCCGAGAATGTACATAAAGTCATGATTCTTAAAACAGACACATACAATTTTTGCCGTAACGTCATTCATATTACAAAAAAATATGACGGAGTATACATTGAAGAAGTTCTTGAATTGTATTCTGCTATTTATAGAACGTTGAAAATGGCTTCCCTATTGTGCATATGATCTACATCGGGGAATAAGTAAGAGATTGTATGATGTACCATCAAGATGGCCTTGATGTTATCTTCATTGAGCCGAACCGCCGCAAGCTCAGTCTGGTCCCTCTCCATCTTCAACAGCAAATCGACAATGTCCTCCTCTTCCTTGTTGCTCTTATTCACGTTTCGATGCTCTTTGATCACCTTCTGATAGAAAACTTCCAAATTGCGAAAGCTCTTCTCCAACTTCGAATGGAGCCCCGTGAACTTGTCCACGATCCAGCCGAATCGAGGGAAGAAATCGGAAGCTGAGAAGCTTCCTAACATCACCAATGTCTCGCGAATCACATCCTCTAACCTTCCATCGTCGAACTCTGTCCCTTGAAACGCCTTCCCAAATGCGACCCTGCATGTAAGGTGTGCAAACAAGTCAAAGTTACTTGTGGGCAATTCTTGGGAAAAATTGTTCAAAAAGTCTAAACTTATTCCACTTTTGCCAATTCAATCCTAAACTTTTTAATTGTGCCAATTGAATCATAAACTTTTTTATATTTTGCCAATTAAGTCCATCCGATCAATTTGGGTCGGAAAAAAATTGACGTAGAAGCCAGTGGTTCTACATGACACGCCGGCGCTTACGTGGACAATTTTTAATAACATATTAATATTTTTATCGAATTTTTTAATTACTTTTTTTTTTCTTTTTTCTTTTTTCTTTCTTCTTAATGTTTTCCCTTCACCGGCCATCACCGGGCCTCGTTGATGGCCCACCTTCGCTTGCCTTAGGTGAGGGCCGCCCTTGCCGGATCGGGCGATGGCTTCCCTCGGCCTAGATCGGGCAAGGGCGACCCTTACCCGATCGGGCTGAGGCCGGTGACCTCCATCGACCATCGACGAGGCCTGGCAATGGCCGGCTGAGGAAAAAAATAAAAAATAAAAAGAAAACAAAAGAAGAGAAAAGGAAAAAAAAGTAAAGAAGGAAAAGAGAAGAAAACAAAAAAAATTCGAAAAAAATTAATAAAAAAATCAAAAAATATATTAAAATATTAATAAGAATTGTCCATGTCAACTGTCTACGGTAATGTCCAGCCAAATTGGGCGAATGGACTCAATTAGCACAATTAAAATATTTTGGACTGAATTGGCAAAAGTTTAATAAGTTTAGCATTTTTTGGATAATTTTTCCAACAAATCCTTGCTTGGCTCTCAGGCTAGATATGCTTCGGTTCAAATCTTTTCTGAGTTTGAGTCGAGTTTCTCTAGTTGGAGCGTTGACTCGAATCAAGTTTGAACTTGATAATAATTAAACAATCGTAAGCCTAATATGGTCAAGCTCTAACCTAGAAAACATGGTCAAGTTGATCTCAAGTTCAACTTCAAAGAACCAGGCTCAATATAAACCTCGAAGAATTGAGGTGAGTTCAAGTACCCTACCTGCAAGTGATGCTAACCGTCAAAGCCATGAACTTCTCTCTCATATTGACCGGAGTTCCGCTCTCTGCTGACTTCGCGATTGACTCGATCATAGAACCCACCTCCTCTTCCCTGACGTACCGAAAGGACTGAACTTGCTTGGTGCTAAGAAGCTTGAGCACGCACAGCTTCCTTAGCTCCCTCCAATAATTGCTGTACTCGGTGAAGGCGATGTCACGATGGTCATAGGTGAGGCGTCCTGGGCCGAGTAGCCGTGGACGGCTGCAACAGTCGAGGTCATGGGTCTTGAGGACCTCCCTGGCAGCGGCGGGGGAGGAGACGACGACAGTGGGGATACCACCGAGGTGGATGAGCATGACGGGGCCATACTGTCTGGAGAGTTTCCACAGGGATTGGTGAGGCAAGTGGCCGAGCTGGTGGAGGTTGCCTATGATGGGGAGTGGCGGAGGGCCTGGAGGGAGGTTCTTCCTTTTGTTGGTGAAGCTTTTCACTGAGAGGAGGCGGCGGCGGAGGAGGAGGAGGAGGGGTGGAAGGAAAAGCGCAAGCCATGTGAAGAGGATGTGAAGAGCCATTGTTGGGATGGTGATGTGCAGTGAGAATGCTTCCAACGTTGAATTAGTTTTGGGTGGTTAAGTAGTGTGAGGGTCGAGAGTGAAAAGTAATACGAAAGGGATGCTGAATAATCAGTTGCCGACATTTACTGGCCAGAAAGAAAAAATGGTGGACTCTTTAGGGTGGAGACGAAATTGGCCACTATTCACCGTCCGGATGTGGATTCTCTTGTCTGATTTCTAGTGCGCGATGAAATAAATGTTCGCAAATTTTTTATGGCACGAGTAAAAGCTCGACTCTCTGTGGTCCCCAAAATCGAACCTCCACCGACGGCTCGGCTGTACAAAGAACACTAATCTTAAGCCCATTACCTTCCCCGCGAATAATGGTTTGTTATTGTTGGGAAAAAAGTCGCGGAAGAAATTGACTAACCTCTCGATGCATAATAAACGAATTATCCAGGAATGTGAATTGAATCACCACCGATTGTTAGACGAATCTGCAACGTCACACCGATCCAAATATAATCACGAGGAAAATATTCTTGTTCCACAGCGTTAATGCCGATCGTCTTCTCAAAGTAACGATGTAACCCTTTGTCGCGACCTACCTCTCGAGAGCCGAACTCGATGAAGCGGGTTTAGAGGTAAGTGTGTCTATATGGCACATCATAAAAGACAGCTTTACTGAAGCGTCGATCTTCTAGTCATCCATACAGTCCGCATGGCACATCATAAAAAATGGCTTACCAAAACGTCAATCTTTTGGTCATCCATACGGTCCGTTTGGCACATCATAAAAGACGGCTTATCGAAGCATTGATCTTTTGGTCATCCATACGGTCCATTGATCATGAACGTGAATTTTCCCTAAATCCATACCTCGCGTGACAGCGGATCGATTTTTTTTTTTTAGGAGTCGCCACTAGCCTTGGTCGGGGGTCGGCTAGAATACCCAATCGAAACGTGGGAGTTTCGTTTCGATTTCTACGAAAAACCAGATATCATGAGTTGGGGGACTAGCTTACGTTAATATTTCTATTAACGCCTTTTCGGTACCGCTAAACTTATCACGGTTGTTATCTAAGTTGTTTTGCATTTATATTCATGTCAAAATCTTAATCCACTAGGTGATCATACATCTTGTTTTTGTGTTTTCATTTAAGATTCTAAAATCATCATGTCAAAGTTTAGAAAAGAAAGAAACAAACAATTGTATTGAAAAGTATTGCATAAAGTAAACAACTAAGGTATTAAAAGAACTAGCTAATTCTGAGTGCAAGAAAGAAAAACCCACAACTCGTCGGGTGTTTATACAATGCGTATAAGAAACCCGAGACATATGTCGGGTAAAATTCATTCAAGAAAATAGATCGGAATGGACATCGACTATCACCGTATACAATGAATAGAGTCGGAATGGACATCGACCTTCGCCATATTCAAGACCGTCATCTTTTTGGACCTATTCTAACCCTAATCTAAAATTGAAACTAAAGAAAGAATAACAACAAACAATATACAATCACAAAGTACACAGCATCACAAGTCAATCAAAGATAACAAACACGGCACAAAGAATTTCAAAGGTGGCCTCGGGGTTGGCCTTTGTTCAAACATGCATCGATACCTTTTATTATCTACCCATGTTCATTTTAGACACGATTCATGGTTATTAACTACCATTGGTATTCACCAACAACAATTAATGCCATGAATTAATGTATTGTTAGGTTCTATGTGTAATCCCAATTTGGACCCATGATCATGCGCCGTCCCTAAGCATACATCTAAAAATCACATGCATAGCGATGAATTAAATATGCAGGTAGGTCGAAAGACCTTGATTCTCAACCAATCACTCAAATTAGTGAACCGACACCGGGCCACTTCATTCAATTCATCACACATCAATCACAAGCACATGCGCTAGAAAATCGATAAATTGTGTGCTTATTAAAAAATGAAATTTTTGCAGGTGAGTGGAATGACAATTTTAATAAGAATTTGAGTACATTCGACATTCTTGGGATATAAATCCAGAACCCAGGTGCGAAGTTTTCAGGCACACTGATCGAGTTCCATGAATCATTGAATTAGTATCAATTCTATTAAAATTGGCATCAAAACAAAATTTAGGGGACCACTGCACAACCCCTTTTATTTTTTGAACAATTTTGTGAACGAAGTTCCTGAAATGAGGATTAAAACTCGTGAAGACATTAAAAACCGGTTTAGCATGCATTATTTTCTAAAAAATCCTAAAACAAAAGATAGTTCAAGAAGGAAAAACAAAGAACAGCAGAACAAGGGATTCAAGATGTATTCAATCGGAAAAGGACCCATGGTTAAAAAGTTCTGGAAAATTTATGATACATCAATCACACAAGAACGAACATTTTTTGTGAAGACAACTTCCTAAGATAAGCTACACGTGAATTTACAAAAATCACAGAACAAAAAGAAGTGCATCAGAACAGAACATAGGAGCAGATTTTCAGAGCAACCTCATGGAAATTTGGGCATGTTAATGATGTCCAAAAATTCTCAAATTTTGTCACGACCTGGGTCTAGGAATGACAATCAAATTCCATGAAGAACTCATCATCAAAATCTTTACCCAAAAATTCACACAAAATCAGTAAATCGCAAACACAGAATTGGCACATTAAGCATTCCGAATTTACAATTTTCCAGATTTCAGGGGAATCTCATAAAAAAAAGTAAGGGGGTCTATGGACATGCAAATGAGGCAATCTCAGCATCATTAGAAAGCTTAAGGTGTGCTCTAAGACTTTTTAGAAGGCATCGAGTTTGATTAACAACAATTTCATGATCAATTGAACAGATTTCTACAATGATGCATATCACTAATGAATTGCAGCAGATAAGTTCACAAGATACATGTTGTTTACTATCCTCATGACATGGTAAAAATGTGATATAAATCACGTGAATAGTATACAACATGATGAACGTTTTTCATGAGAAATCCAAACCTAATTGTGATTCTAAAAAAAAAACATGTAAAAATGGGAAAACAGATCAGGTTCCTTGAAATCAACAATTACAAAACAGGGATTCAACATTGAGCATGCAATTGACCATGCAGATGATGACCGAATGACATGATTTATACCTTTTTGAAAAGGTAATGAACTATACTATGACTTTCATGAAGATATCGGGTCAGGAAATCACAATTGCACATTCAATTTTGAGCAAATCCAATTCGGGTTCCAGTAGATGCAGACGAGACATAAGGTCAGTTCATAGAAGTTTTCACCTATCTTCTTATCTCCAAAAAATCTAAAAAAATTATATGTTGCAATCAAGACATATGTGAACATTTTTCATGAAGCGACCTAAGTTTCGATCTTAGCAGAAAAATAAAAAAAAATATCGGCAACAGTGCAGGTCGGGCAAAATCAGCATGTACAGAGGTCAAATTTCACAAGTTTTCCACACTTAGGCATATTCCAAAAATTCCAAGGAAAATCTATGTTATAACCAACCTAATTTAGATCATTTTTCATGAGGACAACTCCTATTGAATCTCAACACACAAGGTAGCAAAAAATCATCAAACTGAACAACCTGATTCAGAGTAATCAATGCAGAAAGCCATTTCAGACCCTAGGTCGATTCACAGAGTTTTTCATTCATCTAGACTCATCAGAAAAATCTAGAAAAAACACAAGTTATAGTCAAGATGATTCTCAGCAACTTTCATGAAGATCACAACATCCAGATCCGAACAAAAAATTCAACAAAAAATTAGCAAAATTGTTCCAATTGTGAAAAAAAACTTGAAGAAACAGAACAATGGAACTTCCAATTCTAATGCAAACTTTAGAATAGGTTTTTAGGTAGCAAACGATACCAAATCGAGCATCGTAAGATATCAAATCGAAGCTCTTGAAGCGTATTACGAGAGTCCAGAAGGTGTCGAAGTCCAGAAATGAAGTTTAACACGTAAAAATCGACAAAAGAGAAAGCAGGTCCAGAAACTCGAAATTGCAGATCATCTTCTAACTCAAGAACATCATCATCAATTCATCAAACATGTAATCAGCAGCCATAAACCATCAATATAGAGTCTATAAAAAGCGCTAGGGTGTATCCTAGCACCGACTACCTATTGTAGCCTCGCTTCATCGGATTCGAGACTGAGATTCCTACCTTTTGCGCGATTTTAGTTAAACCGAACTCCGATTCACAATGATCTCAGCAAAACAGCACCGAAAACATACCGATAGAACTCCAAAGGCTTCAAGAGACACCAGAAGGGCACCAATCAGCACCGGTTCACCACCAATGAACCGGTTTGCACCGATTTAGGCAGATCGGCTCGGTTTGAGCCGATCTGCACCGCCGCGATGGAGAGGGGCTAGACGGGAAGATCGGAGGCTTCTCTGGCGGTGCTCCGACCAGCAAGGTGTCAAGGAGAGGGAGGCGGACATCGGAGGAGGTGACTGGAGGGGCGGCGATGCCGGCGTGTGGCCGTGGGGAGCAAAGAAGGCGGCGGTTCGGTGAAAGTAGGGAGGAGGAAGAGAGAGCAAGAAAGAGAGCACGTGAGAGAGAGCTAGAAAAAGAGAGAGAAGAGAGAGAAAATCAGACTAGAGAGAGAAGATTTTTTGTAAAAACAGCCACCCTTATCAAATTTTGGAGGGAAAATGAGTTATATACTCGCCTCAAGATTCAATCTCTGCCGTCGATTTGATCCAACGATCGAGATTTGTGCTTATCCTTTACTTAGAGGTTAAGTAAAGACCTCATTTAACATTTGCTAATTTGAACGACAATGATTTAATTTCATCAACGATCTTGATTAATTTTGCAATTAATGACCTAATTAGGGGCATTTTTGTAATTTCACAAAATTCGAGGACTTTTTTTGCAAAATCTAAAAATTGGAGGGCATGGGGGAATTACTCAAAGGACGAGTCATCGGCCGGAGGAGGGCCAAATCGGCCTCCTTGGCTGTTGACCGGTCGGACCGGTTTTGACCGGTTCAACCGGTTTGGTCTTCTCCTTGGGCGGTTGAATCTCAATTGTTCCAAATTTATGCAATTTAGTCTTTGAGGGACTAAATTAAAAGGAAAGATTCGTCAATTTTGAGAAAAAAAATAGTCCAATTTGAAGAGAAACAGTCCGATTTT